GGTTAATGTATTTTTATATGTTTGCTTTGATATATAATCAACGATAATTGTTCATTTGAATTTTTAATATTATGTGACATTATTTACTACATAATTTAGATAATTATGTTAGAATTCATAGTAAATTTTTTTCCTTATAAATATGTGTAATTATCATAAATATATTGATAATTTGATATGTCAAATTTTTTGGCACCGCCTAAAATTTTGAGCCGGCTCCGCCACTGACTTGGTCACAAGGATTAAAATACAATATTAAATTTACAAAAAAAATAAAAAAAATACAATATTAAGTAATTAATTCAACTTAAAAACTTAAATCATTATATAAAAATAGATAGATAATTTTATATTGGGCTTTCAATTCCTCATGTTACAGAAAGTCGGACATTTTCCAGCAAATCCATCAATATGTGTCATGTTTATTTTTTATTTTTGAAAAACCAATGGCGGAGCCCATTTTTGGTGTTTGTGTGACATGATGTAGTGGTTTTCCCGTAACATTATGTTTATAAATCTCTTTTATATTCTATTTAATAAATGGATGTTTCTAGGCGTCTTACCTAAGGGAAGCGACACCAATTCATCCTAAAATAAGACGATAATATATTTCTCCTTCAACTTTTTTTTTTTTTTTTTGAGTTATCCGACCCTAATTATCTCTTTGAGACGAGTTGGCTCCCTCCGGTATCCTCACGAGCTTCGACTCTTTGAGTCGGCTATGAGACTAATCCGGAGTGCGGGAGAACAGTGATGGCTAAAGGTTCAGCCCCCTCCCCAAGAATGCATTCAGCGGGAATCGAACACATATCCAACCCCACTAACTCAGCGCCAAGTTACCAACTCAGCGCCATGTAATCTTCTTATTTATGCCGAGCAGTAATTTTTACTTAATTTTTTTATTTTGTAATCACTTAAATTAATTTAATTATATAATCTTACTAATTTAATAAGCTTCATGTAAGAATAATTTCAATACAAGATTACAGTAGTTTTCGAATATGGGAAAAAAAATAACCACATTAAGAAATAAAACCCACTCACATCAAACATGGCATATATTTTATGGGATTAATATTTCTTATATGGTAGGAGATAAAATAATCTCTTATATTTAATGGGATTAATGTTTATTATATGATAGGAGATAAAATTATTACTTATACATACATAAAAATATGTGAATCAAAGTGAAACCAGATAAAAAGAAAAGAGAGAAAAAGAAAACATGAACCACACATATTAATTTCACACAACATGAGAAAAATTTAATTTCATATTTTATTTTCGAGTCCATTCCAAAACAAGAATCACGAGATTATGATTTATGTTGTGAATAAATTTAATTCTTAAACCTTCACACAATATATAAGTTGTTTTTGTTTTTTACCGTTTTAAAAAGTTAGACAGGTTGATCGGGAGAAAACTCACTTCAAACAATATAGTTTTTAAGAAAAAGCATTTAAAGTGTATAACAGTATAAGTAATGGTATGTTTATCTTCTTTTTTTTAGATAATGTGGAGTTATCCCATATAATTTTCTCTGATTATCTTGTTATCGGAATATGACTCCTAAGATTAGCTCCCATTGAAACAGAAGATACATCGGACAATTGTCACTCGATGAAATGTGAGACTAATCCCCCTTTGAAGGGGGGGATGATTTCTTCCTCAAAAAATTTCAAAAATTTGCTTTTGGCCAAGGTATATTTACTCTTAAACTAAAATAAGTAAATTTTAAGAGGTACTTTGATTTAAATTAACAGTAAATACACCTTTATTTATTTGTACATTTTAAAAGAGTTTTCTCCTGTTTTTTATGTGTTAATAATATCATGAACAACGATACTCTTCTTGTTTCTTCTTTTTTGGAGGTAAATAAACAGGGCCAAGGCCCAACTATAAAGAAAAACTAGAAACGAACTACAGGGGGAAGCCCCAAATCATCTTGAATAAGATGTAAAAGACTACTGCAGGAGCCCCAATTACTTCCGATCCCGTCCAAGATTAAGGTAACGTTTGAATTGATAAAAAAATTTGAAATGATATAAGTTATTATTATTTGAACTATTTAAAATAAGATTAAACAAAATTTTATGGAATCTATTCCGTCTCATTCCATTAATTACATCTAGTTTACTTTCTATTCAATTTGGGTATTGCAAAGAATCAATTCAACCCAAAAGTTTAAGCTTTTAGGAAATGTTACATTAATAAATTTTTATATTTCTCTAATTCGTCTCTCAAACGAGAGCTCACTTGGCTTAAAGGGTGGAGAATGGATAGACTCACTTATCTATGCTAAGAAACTTCACAAAACTCAATTAATTATTAATTAAATGGGGGCGGTGATGATCGAACCCATGACACGGAGACTGTAATGATCGAACCCATGACACAGAGGCTTTGATATCTTGTAAAGAATCAATTCAACCCCAAAACTTAAGTTTTTAGATGAAGCTACTTTAATGGATTTTATTAGGGGTGGCAATTTGGGTTGGCTCGTCCCGACTCGCCACCAACCCTCTAAAAACGGGGCGGGTTGGCCCGCCACTAAATATGGGCTGAAAAATGAACTCACCTCGTTTTATGGTAGGTTGACGGGTCGACCCACCAACCCGTCAACTAAAAAAAAAATTATTAAAATTTAAAAAAAAATATTATGAATTTTTCTAATATTATTTTATTTTATTTTATTTCACACTTCTCTTAATTTTTTTCAGTCTCAATCTTAAATGTATATTAATATTCAGTTAAACATTCTTTAAGAACTCATTTGTCTCCATATATAGATGACATTTGTCATAAATAAAATTGTTATTCTTTATCTTTTCTAGGAAATACTAAGATAAATTTTTTTTGGATATCACAAAAAACTTAATGACAAATGAAATACTATTTAATTGTAAAAAAAAAAAAAATTATAACCCTGCAGGTCAACCTGTCCCGCGGCGGGTTGAACCCGTTTTGACTCACTTTTTGGCGGGGCCGGTTAAAGTGGGTTGGTGGGTTGAACACTTCAACCCAACCCGCCTGTTTTGGCCAGTTGACTTGCCGGATTCAACCTATATTATCACCTCTAGTTTTTATATTTCTCTAACAAGTATAGAATGAAACTAACTTATTATTTATTAATTTAGTTTATTTTTCAGATAATAGAATGATTTTTCCCTCTTTTATCATAAAATATCCATATACTGATATAGTGATTTTTCTCTATTTCATATCATTCCGTTTTACTCAATCTTTATTTCGTTTAATATTAAATGTCCTAACAAAGCCAAATCAGCTTACACAATCTGCACATTGATTGGATTCATTTTTAATTGGGTAAGTTTCAACTTGATAACACGATCCAACAATCAAATTTACTATGCTTATACAGTTTGTGGCTGTGTGGTCTGAAAGAACAATAACTTTGTTAGTGAGGCTGCAAGCAGACCTATCAAGTTCAGAAGAAAAGCACAACGATGACGAACGCATTGGCGCATGTATAAAGTTAACATTAGGAAATAATATCACAGTAAGTGCAAAGACATGTAGTTGACATCACTCCTTATAACAGCCACAAATTACGATCTCACTAATGGAGCGGGTGTGAACACTTTGAAGCCAAAAGAAAACAAGAGTGGCTATTCTGTAAACATTTCTTATTTTCATTTTTAAATTTTCATCTTTTAAAAATGGGTTCAATGAATAAACTTTTAAAAGACACAAATTATGTTCTTTTAGCAATTTTAACTATGCATTACCGGAAATGCATAATTATAATATTAAAGTTGTATTTCTTTATTCTTTCTTCAGAAAAAGTGCAACTTTAATATTATAACTATGCATTCCTGATAATACATAGTTAAAAACTGCTAAGAATACATAAGCTTGTATCATTTAAAATGAAACTCTTTTTTTCCTTTAAAAATACAATTGCTTTCCTTTGTTATTTTCATTTTTGGGTTTTCCGTAAACATTCCGAGCAAGGGTCAATAGTATTTTTTCGGCTTGTAATGTGTTTGCTAAAAAAGAGAAAGGATCCAACCCCCCCTAATGTATATAATCAACCAGCGAGCACAGAAGTTACTTTCATTGTAAATCTTGACTCACAGTACACCATTTTTTAAAATAAAACTCTTAGCAAGTTTATGTTTTCACTGAATCAAATTATTTATAAATTTAAAAACAAAAAACAAAAAATTTATTTATAAATTTTGAAAAAGATTAAAAAAATATTGTAATTCCATCCACAATGATGCACTTGATGAATGAAATACATCGCTTCTATGTATTTCATTTATTTACTTTCTTGGTTTCTCTTTCCTCGCCATAAGATAACGTACAATAATTATTGTGCTCATGACCACAAAGAAAGCAAACACTATAATCACAAGTCATTGCTTTCTTCATCCACCCAAGTTTTTATTCTACAACTTCCACTTAGTACTAATCCACTGAAACCCAAGCGGAGTCCAGACACCATTAAAAAATCTAACTGCACTTGCATACGTTGGTATGTGACGTTTTTGGATGACCGCATAATGCGCAGCCATTCTTACAATTTAAAATGTCAACTGCAGCCTGTGTGTGTGTGTGTGAATGTGTGTGCGCCACTGTTGAGTGCAGCACAAGATTGCAAATTTCATAGGAGATTTCATGTGAAAATGGTTTAGATTATGTCCACATTCTACCATTAAGAGGATAACATTACTATTCGGGAGAACCAATCTAACCTTCTGTCTCCTCCCAAATGGGCATTCAATTGAGTTGAGTTGAGAATCTACTCATCACCTATTCAAAATTGCTTCCACAAATCATCGCATTTACTGAAAGTTTTCCACGATGCAAGTATTCCCACCTTGACTCATGCCACGCTGTGTAATGTCAAAAATCTAAGTATTCTCACTGTCAACGCCCAAAATGGGTGGCAGCAAGACAGTGAGGGGGAAGGATCTTATACAAAAAAGTATTATTACTAAGAACTAAGAAGTGTTTGCAATCAATACAACATGGTTTTCTTACGAACACTGTTCTTCGTTTTACTTGCAACATTTGGTCACTCCCTTCCAAGGCGCCACCACCACCATCTTTCTCATTCTTTAACTACAGATAAAGCTGCTCTTCTGGAATTCAAAAAAACAATCATATCAGACCCGCATTCCTCACTTGCTAACTGGGCTGAAGCTGCTCATGTCTGCAACTTCACAGGTGTTGAATGTGACAAATTCCATCACCGTGTTATACGACTAATCCTTAAAGATACTGATTTAGTGGGGCTGCTTTCACCCGTCCTTTCCAATCTCACTGGACTGCACCACCTTGAGATTGTTCACAATCACTTGTATGGCATTATTCCACCTGAATTTTCATACCTCAGACGGCTTCACCGTATCATTCTCGATGGGAACAATTTGCATGGCTCAATACCGGAGTCCTTTTCTCACCTTTCCAAGCTTATCCTTCTACTTATCAAGGAAAATAATATAACAGGATCACTTCCTTCATCTATCTTTTCCAATTGCACTCTACTAGAGGTTGTGGACTTTTCCACCAACTTCCTAACTGGTCAAATCCCAGAAGAGATTGGAAACTGCCCAGGCCTGTGGAGTCTCAATTTATACAATAATCAATTTACCGGACAGCTTCCTTTCTCTTTGACTAACATATCCCTTATAAATTTAGACATCGAGTACAATTATCTATATGGTGAATTGCCTACAAAGTTTGTAAGCAGCTGGCCCAATCTCCTTTACCTTCATTTATCATACAATCATTTGGTAAGTCATGATAACAACACCAATCTTGATCCATTTTTCACTGCTCTTAGAAACAACAGTGCTCTCGAGGAGCTTGAATTGGCAGGCATGGGCCTTGGGGGAAGGTTCTCCAATACTGTCGCCAGTCAACTAGGCTCCAGTCTAAGAACTCTACTCCTGCAGGAAAACCAAATTTTTGGATCAATTCCTCACAGCATAGCAAATCTTTCAAGGCTTTCGATCCTGAATTTAACATCCAATCTTCTAAATGGAACTATTTCCTCTGAGACCTGCAGATTACCAAACTTGGAACAACTTCTCTTATCATACAACCTTCTGAAGACTTCAATTCCGGAAGCATTTGGCAAGTGTCAACATCTGGGTCTACTAGATCTGTCACACAATGAATTTTCAGGTAGGATTCCAGAAAGTTTGGGAAATTTGGTCCGGCTAAATTCTTTGTTTCTCAACAATAACCTTCTCTCAGGAACAATACCTCCTACATTGGGACGGTGCACTAATCTGTACAAGCTAGACTTGTCCTATAATAGATTAACAGGAAGCATCCCACTTGAACTCTCAGGCTTGCATGAGCTCAGAATTTTCATAAATGTCTCGCATAATCATCTTGAAGGCCCCCTGCCGATTGAGCTCAGCAAATTAGAAAAGGTTCAGGAGATGGATCTTTCATCAAATCACCTAACTGGAAGTATCTTCCCTCAGATAGCAGGATGCATTGCTGTCTCTATGATAAATTTTTCAAACAATTCTCTTCAAGGGGAGCTCCCAGAATCCTTAGGAGATCTGAAGAACCTTGAATCTCTTGATGTTTCAAGAAATCAATTATCTGGATTGATACCAGCAACACTTGGTAAAATTGACACGCTCACTTTTCTCAATTTATCATTTAACAACCTGGAGGGAATGGTTCCATCTGGTGGTATCTTTAATTCAATGTCATATTTATCATTCTTAGGAAATCCACAACTTTGTGGGACAATTACAGGCTTATCCCCGTGCTCTCATAAGAGACGATGGTTTCAAAGACGTTTGTTCTTGATTATATTCATCTTGGTCATTTTCACATCAACATTCTTGTCAATAATTTGCTGTGTAATTGGATGCAAGCATCTTAAAGTAATCATTTTGTCTCGGAGGACTGAGGGACCAGCTAGACCCGAGTTGATAAGTAACTTCCCAAGGATCACGCATAAGGAATTATCGGATGCCACTGGAGGATTTGACAATCAGAGACTTCTTGGATCAGGTAGTTACGGACATGTTTACGGGGGAGTTCTTCCGGACGGGACACCAATAGCAGTCAAGGTGCTGCATTTGCAATCTGGAAATTCTAGCAAGAGCTTTAATAGAGAATGCCAAGTTTTGAAGAGAATTAGGCACAGGAATCTGATAAGAATTATCACAGCATGTAGCCTACCTGGTTTTAAGGCTCTTGTTCTACCTTATATGGCCAATGGGAGCTTGGAGAGCCGCCTCTATCCTTCTTCTGGATCATCAGACTTGAGTATAATCCTGAGGGTGAATATTTGCAGTGATATAGCTGAAGGGATGGCCTATTTGCATCATCATTCTCCAGTTAGAGTCATACACTGTGATCTAAAACCAAGCAATGTTCTTCTCAATGATGACATGACAGCTCTAGTTTCTGATTTTGGGATTGCAAGGTTAATCATGAGTGTCGGAGGAGGAAATGGTGGGGCTACTGACCACATGGGGCACTCTACTGCAAATTTGTTATGTGGATCCATTGGATACATTGCACCAGGTAATGTAATGTAGATCTTAACTTCGCAATCTGTATCTTGTAAAATTCCTTTAAAATGGAAATCATTAGAAGGAACAAAAAACCAAGCTCAGTTAAATCTGAAAATGGTCACCCACCAACCTAACTACCAGGGACCAAGTAATTTAATTAGTTCTTATCAAAGAAGCAATCTGCCACAATTTGACACCAACAGAACAAAATATGTGACATAATTTTTGGCATCTCATACATATACTAGCAAGATAACATTCCTGTTTATCATGTGTTTGCTGTAAGTATCTAAGTAGCTTCCATAAATTTGGAAAACTTCAATTTAGGTCCAAGAAGTCATCAATATTCTTCCATACTTTCTCATGCAGAATATGGATTTGGATCAAATACATCTACCAAAGGAGATGTCTATAGCTTTGGCATTCTAGTTCTTGAGATGGTGACTAGAAGACGACCAACAGATGACATGTTTGTTGGCGGGTTAAGTCTGCACAAATGGGTAAAAAGTCACTATCATGGAAGGGCAGAAAAAGTTGTAGACCCTGCTTTGGTAACAGCTTCAAGAGATCAATCCCAAGAGGTTCAGAAGATGTGGGAAATTGCTATTGGGGAGTTAATTGAGTTGGGGATCCTTTGCACACAGGAGTCGCCTTCAACAAGACCTACCATGCTTGATGCAGCAGATGACTTAGATCGTCTCAAGAGATACCTTAATGGGGACACAAGTGGAACTTTTGCCTCCTCTCTTGGAATTTCATCTTCTACAATAGGTGGTGATTAACGGTTTTCTCTTTTTTCAGGAGATAATGGTAAATTGCCCAGTTGTCTCATATACTTGTGCAGTGTCCAACCCAAAACTTCCAAAGGATAAATTGAAATTTTACAAAATATATTAGCAGATAACAAGAATGAACCCATTGAAGACATCTAAATTGCACAACATGACATGTCTTTGCTATAAGCCTGTAATAAACTGTGGATTATTACACCATAGTAATCCATGAGTCGGGATTTCCCAAAGTTAGGTTTTGACAACTTAAAAGTTTATAAGTACAACGGGTAACATTAAGATGTTCTAAATGATATATGCAGCGTGATTCTCATAAAACTTTTATACAATCCGTTGATTACTTTACTCAAACAATACCACTTCTCACATGCGAAAATAGCTAAACAACGAATAGGTAACTTATGTCTAAAGGCCAACAATGCTGTGATTATTAAAAGAAGAAATCAAGCGAGGTAATCCGAGCCAGAAAGTAGTATTAAGTACTTCTAGTTGCGCATACCTACTTAATAAAATTAATGACCCAGGTAAAGAGCTATTTTCCTTCTCAACAAATAACAATCAGCAATCAGACAAACAGTAAACTACTAATGCATACTGATTTAATACAACATTATGGACATTAGTAACACCTGCCAACAGACGAAGATACCACAAATGTATACCAAAGCCTTGAAGTACTTGTCCACAAAATCACGTAAACTGGCATAGATATCAAAGGGAAATAATAGAGAAACTGCAATAATTATACTTGGTATTGAAATGTCATATCATATAATCAACCCACTCGAATTTATCCATTTGCATTAATTATTGGTGTTACTTGGTTGATTCAACCTGAATTTTTTTTTTTTCTTTCTGTAGTTTTTCCAAATCATTGTCAGGATATCACATCATAAATTGCTAAGCCCAATAACTGATATCTCCATCTCAAACGTGTAAGAGACAAAAGACGCAAAGTTCAAGCTCATAATAGTAAAGAACAATGTTCTATTGGTTTGTTGATCAATATATGACCTGGGGGAAGTTAGTTCACAAGAATATTATCCAACCATTCCAGCATGCCAGACAAGCCAGAATCATTAAAGACAGAAAATTATAAAGTGATAATTTAGTACATGCAATAACTAGAGGATCTTATAAAATGAAGGAAGACAGGAAACATATCGAAGTTGTTGTATTCTCAACCATCATCATGAATGACACAATCGCATTTCCACTTAGGCATTGCACAACTTGCAGTAACAGTAATGGAAAAAAATTATTCAAAAAAAAAAACAAAAAAACAAAACAGAAATTTCATAGTTTACTCACGCGAAGCCGTCGATGTCGTTGATTCAGCACAAACAACTTTTAATTAGAGCCCGCTCACGCAGATCTCACACCTAATAGTAATGAAGCATCGAAATCACGATGGAGATTCTTGAACTGTGGCGATGTGATTGTGATGGTGAAATTGAAGCATCTAAATCGTGATGGATCGCAAAGAAACCATCTCAAATTGGCCCCATCTAATTACCTTCAGCAGTGCTTTATTTCGCTTCTTTCAGTCTCATCGTATAGTTTGGTTATTAAATTGGATAACTAAACTGCAAAATAAATTTATTATTTTCAATTCAGAATTTTTTTTATTTTTTATTTTTTATTTTTTAAAAAAGAAATCGTAAATTCATAATATTTCCTTAAATTGTACATATTCTACAAATTTACTTTCATTGTGTTTCCATTGTATTCAACGGTAGAGAAATATGGGATCTCAAAGGTTGGGGGTGCAACCAAATGGGAGCCGAGAAGATCGGGTAAAAATATGTATTTGATTCTTTTAATATTATTTTGAACTCCTTCCGAACGAATAAATTTTTGGTATTACTTTTGTATCAAAGATTTAATATATTTCATCAATAAAAATATTACATGTTAGTTAAAGTTTTTTTTTTTTACTGTTAAATTTTTTTTCTCTCTATGATGTGTAATACTTTCATTAGTAGAATACACTGAATCTTGATGCAACGTTAACACCAAAAATTTATCCGTTCCTATAATAGCCCTAACCTAATTAATTAGTAAATTTCATGTAATTAAATATTAAGTATGTGTTAGTGAGTAAAATTAAGTATAAGACTTAATTAAATGAATTAGAGTCACTTTGGGGGTAAAAAGTGTACTCAGTGAAAATTAAGGGGTATAAATGAGTGTCAGCAAAAGTACCCAAAATCTAAAAATAAAAGCGGAAATATTCCTAGAATAATATTCCAGACTGTTGGGTAAAGTTTGGTAATTAATGGAGTTAAATAGATGGATGAACCGATACCCACTTAAAACCACTTAACATAAGGTTAAGTGGCATAAAACAAAAAGAAACCCTTGTCCCTCCCCACAAACTCGTCGCCAGCAGAAAGAAAAGAAGGAGAAAGAAGAAGAAGGAGAAAGGAGGGAGAAGGAAGGGAGGATGAGAGAGAGAGAGAGAGAGAGAAAACCTCAACCGATTGGAGTGATTCAAAAGCCTAAATCACTTAGAACCTCGTCCTCATTGCTAATCCTTGCTTAGTTTTTAGTGGGGAGCTTGGTGTGGTGAGTTATTCTTCTCCAAAATTTCGACCCTTTGTGGGTTTTGGGGTGATTCTCTCCATCGAAGCTTGAGGAACGCTCATTGCATCGTTGTGTGATCATTGGTGGTAAGTTTTCACTATCTTGCACACAAAATCCCTAGATTTTGCATGAGTTAGGGATTTTGTGAATAGTGTTTGGGGTTTTATGGTTTGTAAGCCGATTAGCTATGCTCTTGGAAGAATGGAGCTTAATGCATGTTATAAGAAATGCTATGAATGATATTTAATCGGTGGAAATGAGCTTAGATAGTTATATGACTATACTTTGAAAATGGCAAGATTTAATGCTTGATATTGGATTTTCTTGCATTAGTAATAAATGGTTTAGTTTGGTTGATTGATGATTGTGTCCTAATGATGTCTAGGATTGAGGCATTTGGACCAACCGTAAGTGATCAACTATTGGAGCAAGCAATGGAGCTTGGTTAGTTCAATTGGATAGGTAAGCTCATGTCGTGTTGTGATATAGAGTTGTTATGATATTGATGAATATATGTAGATATTAATTGAATTGCATGATTGATGCTATGACACCTTGATGTAGGTGTGTGTTGTGTAAACAATAGCTTGAAACCAAAGTTGATTGGTTGCTGAAACTGTTGGTGAAGAACAAAGGTTAACTGAAGCTTGAGGTAAGCCTTCGGACCTTGGGTGTAATTCCCTTGATTGTTCCACCAAGCCCTGAAAGGGTAGTCGTAGTTATAGTGTATATAAATGCAATGAAATAGTGTAATGCTTTGTTATACGTATGTGTATGCATTTGGTGTGGCATGAGATGGTGTTTCCCTATGTTGGTATGTTGCATGACGATGCGTAAATCATACTTGGTAGTTTAGCTGGCCAGTAGGACTATTTGCATCTGAGTTTCCTTAGGACAACTTGAGAGCTCGAGGGATTTCTCCTGGAGATGTTATTGCACTTTGCATAGATATGTATTTACTGCATTATTATTGTTATTGCTATTACACTGATATGGAACTGTGGGGTGGAGAGATGCTCTAAGGACCCCTGGTTTACTGGATATATTCGTATATCTCACCCCGTGTTGTGGGGACCCCCTTTCAGGTAAGGATGCTGCAGGAGCCACCAGTGGCAAGTGGCCATACTTAGACTAGTAGCGATGCATGAGGATCCTGTATTTTGATATTATACATGTTGTTTTGTAGCTCACATGTATAGGATTGTAATTAATAGACAATTGATAGATGTATGTTCTCTTTATTTGGAATGGACTTAGCCTATGCTCATGCCTTTGGTTATCTCTTTGTTGATGAGAGCCAAGGGAGTGTTCATAGTGTTTTGTAAGCTAAGTTCCATGAATTGTAATGAACATGATTTGTAATTGATGATTACTTTAAGTTCAATATATGCATGCTCTTTATGTATTGGATTGTTGAGCTGAGAAATATATTAGGTACCTAGTGCTAAATTGGGAAATGTTGAGAAAACAGAGGTTATGCTGCCCAAAATTTAGTATAATCCATGAGGAGAGGTTGGATAAGTGCTAGGGTTAAGTTTAGAGGCATGAACCATTGAGGCTTGTCATGGGGATGCCCTTTCCCCTAGGTTTGGACTTGAGAAATGAGAGAGGGAGAATTCCCTGGCAGCGCGCTCAAGCGCCCAGAAGCGCGCTCAAGCGCCCAGAAGCGCGCTCAAGCACCCTGCTGCCCCTGTGAGAGCCAATGCTCTCTGCCTCCTCGCGCTGGAGCGCCCAGAGTGGGGGCTTAAGCGCCCTAGTTCGCGCTTGAGCGCCCTTAGCCGCCGAAGGAGGAGATGCTTCTGCCTCTGCGCGCTAAAACGTCCCAAATGGGGGCTTAAGCGCCCAGGATAGCGCGCTTGAGCGTCCTGGTGCGCGCTTAAGCGCCCATTTATACTGAAAGACCTGATGCTTTCTGCCTCCGTGCGCTTAAACGCCCAGATGAAGACTTTAGCGCCCGATAACGCGCGCTTGAGCGCCCGGTAGCGCGCTGAAGTTCATGTAGGGCCTGTGTTCAACGCCCCCTTGTGTTGCTTCAAATTGTCGTAACTTGGGCTACAGTGCTCCAAACGAGGCGCGGTTCAAAGCCACGCGTAGCTAACGATTAGAAGAAGACATTTAATAACATTTGGTCTAAAGATATAAGAGTATGATGTTAAGCTTAGTTATTTTATTCCGCAATGTAATACGGTTATGATCACGCACTTGGTTATCTTAAGTTCGGCATATTTTAAAAAAGAAAAATTTAACCGGATTTAATTGAACCATGTGATTGTAACTGCGCTTAATATCATAAGGCGATGTTAACAAACCGGTTCTAGAATGGGGTGTTACAGTTCTGAACAGGATTTACTTCAGTAAAAAATACATGTAATTTATAAAAAAAAAATAAAGTGGGGGATGCAAATGTTAATCACCGCCCTAGCCACTAAAATTTCCACAGCGTCATTATTAACTTGGTTCTCTGCAGCACCTGTAATCCTCGCTTTAATTGTAGTATTTTCCTTCCACTTGCTCTAAGACGTTCTAAATATTTAATTTTTTTTTGGTGCAAAACGTTCTAAATATTTATTGAGCCTGTGCTCTGTACCATTATGTGTTATTTTTCTTTAATGCTTCAATTAGTGGTGGGTGTTTTCTTTAGGGTCCTTTATGAGAGCATCACTGCACGTCAGGACTATCATATGAAGTTGTAATTAGTGGATGCTTAACATTATGCCAATCAAATGTTTTCATCACACAATTAAGAGAGCCATATCATTTATTAAATAACTATATGTATCTCGAGACAAAAGCAACACACCTGCCACCCCAAGTTCCCAGAGCTTTCCCCAGCGAACTTTGCAAGGCAAATTACTATTGCCAAAATGAAATATTGAAGAAAAGTAATCAATCATGTGAGGAGAGGAGGCAGAGGATCATATTGAGGCTAGAACAATAAAAGTTGAACCTATTGGTTTCAAGTTTTATAATATCATTCTTCATTGTTCACGACAATACGCTCAAATATGGGATGGTGTAGCTGACTAACAAATCTTGTCCAAATGTGATACCAAATCAATAATACACTTGTTTCTAAAGTTCATTTATTTGTACAGATTATCAGACTTTGCCAAGGCAGACTATTTTGTAACCAGAAACAAGTTCCTAATTAACATATTTATACGGTTCATAAAAACAAAAGGAAAGAAAACACCACCTTAGAAACATTCACCTTATACAATCATGATTCAAAATGGGCATATTCAATCCCTCAAATATCATACAACAATTCCTGAAACATTTTCATCTGCTCAAGCTGCAGAGCAATTGCCACATATAAGCTCCCATCATTAGTTGAGCTTGGAATTATGAAAGATAGTCCCTCGTATGCAATCCCACCAGGTCCCATGAATATAGGCCTTCCCCAACCAAAATCAGCATCATGGATTGGGAGCCTTGCCCAGCTTGTGATACCAAGATTTGGACACCTAAAAGTATGTTCTCCACGAACAAGAGCTTTTAGATCAGGCTGCAGCTCTAGATAATCAAGAGCCGATCTCAAATATTCGTCATCCATTCGTAACAATGCATTGTGGATTCTGCTTGCAGCATACCATGTTGGTTTTGACATGAGATCACCTGCCACTGCTATAGGTGTGGTTGTGAAGATCACATTGCCAAAGTAACCTGGTGGGAGGGAAGGTTTCAACCTTGACCGTCCATCAGTTGCTATGTACAATTTGGTTTCTTGATCATCAGGAAGTGCTCTTGCCTTGCATACACTTCTCCATACATGACCAGCCAACATCTCATAAGAGCTATAGCTGATTGAGTTGCCATCTTCTCTGGATTTACCCTTCAGGATGTTCAGCTGTTCACGAGTCAATTTGAAAATAGAGACAGCCGCGCCGTCCGAGCCTGGTTTTGCAGGTTCCAGGAGAGTCTTCATGGACGGTGGGGGTTTGTATTCAATGTGATCAAAAACAGGTCGAGGTGGATCCCTGGCTCGGAGCTGTGTCCGGTCAATGAATGGTGGAATGGAAACATCCAGGCCACGAGCCACATCTGACCATGTATTGATAAAGTGAAGACCAGAAGCTCCATCAGCTACATGGTGTTGCATACCGACGCCTAGTGAGACCCCTCCACATTTGAAATATGTTACCTGCAAATAGTTTAAGTCCAGAAATTCATAGTCTGTGGATGAAGAGAGTATAAATATGGGACTATACTTGAGAATAAATTCATCAGGATCGAGGCCTACAATTAATAAATCAAAAGGGAAACTAGCATTTTCTTAACAGAAAATCAAAGCAACTATTGCATCTGCTTGATCTATGAATGAATAATTGAATTTTTTTACTTATGGTCATGTTAAAACAAGACATGAGAACATCCCTTCCTTCCTGAGCGAGTTATCCTAGATGTGAGAAATCCCGCTGCATATAAGAATCTATCCAAAAGTGTGAACAATCATAATCATACAAAGATGAATCAATGATCAATGGTGATATAAGAGAAGAGAAAAAAAAATATTAAATAGATAATTACTAAATCATAATCGTTGTTCACCCTTGTATCATTTTTGTTTTAAAACATGAGAAGATCAATTTCTGAATCTATCCCCAGATGCAGTGATGTTATGATGTAGACCCCTAGTAATTAAATGCCTCAATTAAATTTAAAGCTCAAACCTACATCAACAGTTGAGCGCTATCAATTAATAGCATGAGTGTTATGTTTTCCATGAGTTTAATTATGAATCATTTCTAAAGTCTAAACTCTTCTACACAAAGAAAGAAAGTAAACTCATCCCCTGCAACGTGCTTCACGTATCCACCCCTATACCATAAAATTATAATATCTTATATTGACAGTGATTCAATATCTTAATTTAATCTCTCTTAAAGAATAATATGTTAACTAATTTTAAATCAATTATCTATATAAGAGTCAACAAAAAAAAAATAAAAAAAATTGGGCTACAGCCGCCGCTGTACGTGCATAATTGAAGAGTGATTCCCGCGTTGGATAGTTGGGTTATATTCCTGGAAGGTGGCTAGAATGGTTACATTACGCGTTACAAAAAATTATGTAAAGATTATTAACTAGTTAGTTTTTTTCTTTTTTTCTGTTTATTTGCTTCGAAAAGGATTTTTTTTTTTTCATTTAATAGTAACTAGATGAATTAAAAGAAATCGTGAAAGAGTTTAAACAAAAATACAAGGATATTATTGGCAAACATTGCGAGAAAATTACTGGTCCTGCAATGCGAAAATAATAATAATCTTTAATATTAGTGTATGAAAAATCACATTAGAATATTCCAGAAGCATTTATATATGAATTTACTTTTGAGTAAAGCCGCATTTTTATCTTTCAAAAATAAGTTATTATTTTCAAAAACATTATTGTTATCAAAGTCGAAGAATAATGTACGGTAATGTCATTTTCATCTTTCATAGATTTTTATATTAATTTGATCCTTGAGTATAAAACATATTTATTTTAATATCTTAATTATAAAAAATATCATTGAATTAGTCTGTATTTTAAGACTATTTCACAATCATATTTCTGCCTTTAAATTAGTCATTTTGTGTTAGACAAAGAAATATTATTGTAAAATAGTCTTTAAAAAAGTTTACCAAAAAAAAAATAGTCTTAAAAAAACGACTAATTTAAAGGTATTTTATACAAATAAAAGACTAAATTAATAATCATATTTCGAATTACCAAAAAAAATAATAATAATAAAGAGAGAGAAAGAAAAAAAAAAATAAATGGTTACAAATTTTGTTAAAGACTAAATTGACTGACAGAAATATCTTATAAGAATCAAAATAAAGGGTTATCCTTTGATCTTCAGTAGTGTCCTCCATGATACATTTAATAATAAGCCCACGCTGCACTAGTAATTTTATATTAGAGAGTTTCTAGAAGCGGTTGCGCCATATATGATTACTGTTAACTAATTATAATAGTACTTACGTTTCTAAATTAATTCAATAAATAATCACTTTTTAAAAAAAAAAAAAGTTTTTTAGTAAGGTATAAAATAGTTTAACTCCAAAATAACTTAATTCAAACAAGCACTGAGCGTGCGCCCACGAAACCTGGCGGGCATTAATTTGATAATCATATTGAGTTTAAATATTATGTGAAAAATAAAAAGGATGAATTCAGAATCAATTTTTCTGTATTTATATTGAGTGTAAAATAATATTATTTTGAAGTAAAAATTAAAATATTTTTATAATTATAATTTATTTTAAAATTGTAATAGTCTTTATTATTATTATTATAATTTTTTAACTCAAAATAAATATAAATAATTTATGGCATTTCTGGGTTAAAGCCATTCCATAAATATAGAAACAAACAAATCCAACATAATTTAAAATTTTGGTAACATACAAAGAAAGCAATGACCACGAGTCATCTGAATGAACGAAAAAGGAAACAACTTATGTGAAAGCATCAACATCAAAAGGCTTAAAATTAAAAAATAAATAAATAAATAAATAAACGTGCGACCCAAAAAAAAAAGGAAGTAACACCTGACCTAACAAGAAAGAAGACGCACCTGCAACACCAACAGCGGATACGTTTCGATTCCGGCAGAATAATCGACGGCGGGGATAAGCTGCCGGAGCTCAAGGGTGGGAGCGAAGTCGCCGAAGTCGTCGATGACGGCGGTGGTATCAGCCTCGACGAAGAGAACCCCTTGGCCATCGCAATCAATCTCGACGCGGCCGTCGTCGTCGCGGCGGAGGCGGGCGGCCATTGGGTAGAAAGGAACGAGAACCTTGCTGAGAGCGTCCTTGAGAACCTTGGCGTCGAAGAAATTGAAGCCACCGTTTGGCCTGTAGAAGTAGACGCTGGGCGTGTGGAAATTGGGCACAACCAAGTCGACGTTGGAGTTCCACAGCGCCCTACGCGGCGTCTCCTCCGCCGGACGCACCATCGTCGACTCGTTCACATTTATGATCATGTCTACACATAACCAATATTATATGTATAAACAAGCTTCTTAAGGTAATAATAACATACGTAACCGTAACGAGGTAAACAAACATTGGACAAAAGATAAAGAAAACATACATAGTTATAATAATTAATTAATTAATTAATTAAAATTATGAAACCAAAATTGAAGTGATTATTAACTAGGCTGTGTCCAACAAATAAGAAACGAAAGTGGCAACTTTACCGAAAAGGGTGGGAATGTGGATATGACAATTGTGTGGGTTGGAATTTTTTGTGTGTGTGAGTCAGAGAGAAAGTGGTGGACGGTGCAATGCAGAGTGGAGCAGGGATTTAAGGTAAGAAGAGGTTGGGGGCTTGGGGCCACTCACCAACCCCGCCAACTACAGCCAAGTTGTTAAGACACTGATCTCTTTCTCAGCTTTTTTTTTTCTTTTTTCAATTATTTCTTGAAATAATGAGCTGTGATGAAACGACAATGTTAGCACTAAGTACTTTGCTTTCCTAACTTTTTAGTTATATTGGAAGGATATATTTATGGGAAATGTTTTTCCTATCGTTGGAAATAAGTTATTTTATGCTAGTGAATAAAATTATAAGAGGGACTTACAAATAATTGGAGAAAAAAAAAGAAGATGTGGGATCCATATTTTTTATGTGGTGTAAAAATTTGATTTATCTGAATGAGATAAATATAATCCTATATTTATTATCACGAAAGTTGATCATCCTTATAATTAACTTAAGAGTAAATACCCTTTTTGGTACTCAGCAAATTTCACGATGCCCGTTTTAGTCCCTAGCAAATAAAAAGAACCATAGTGGTCCCTCAAAAATTCAAAATAGCCCATTTAGTTGAAATTGTGGTCCCTCACAAATTTAAAAAAGAGCCATATTAATCCTAAGGGTCCATTTTAAATTTCTTAGGAACCACGATGGGCCTTTTTATTTGCTAGGGACTAAAGCAGGTATCGTGAAATTTGCTAAAAGGTATTAACTCTTAATTTAATAAGTGTTAATTTTCGTCAATCTTAATTTATCGAAAATTATTGAATTGTTCTTATTAATTAATTATTAATTCTTGATAAATTATAATTGTTAGATTAACGAAAATTAACGATAATTAAATTGATTGTAAAGATAATAAATTTACGAGGGTGATAAGTGTACGCTGCCCCTTGACTTTTTAAATTCATTTTTTTGAAGATTTACTGTATTTCATAATCTATCTCACTAAAATGTAATTTGGATAAAATATTCCAGAAAATGTTACACCTGAAAACCCATTTATACAAATATTGGGTTTATAAGAAATTGTCCTTATTACCTAGGGATGCTGGTGATGTGGTACTCATAATTGAATCACCAACTCCTGATTAATTTTAATGTGGGACGCGCAAATTTGATTGGTCCATGACATAATCCAATTCGTGATTAACTTTAATGTGCGTGCAAATGTGGTTGTCAAGGCGAGACTAAAGGGTGGAAGGAACCGAGGGAGTTGGTGAATGGTGAGGGATAGAGCGTTAGGATTTATATGGCAGGGTGTCGCCACCAATGACGTTTATTTGTTGTCACAGTCAGGGGTACATTAAAAGATGAAAACAAAAAAAATCAATAAAAAATTAGAGTAAAGCTCATTTTCTTACCCAAAAAAAAGTTAAAAATTAACCCCTCGTCTCAATAAAATTTAAAATTGATTCATTTAATTGAAATTGTTGCCCATAGTATATTTAAAAAATATATCTATATTAGTTTTTCAAATTGATTAAAATAGGTCTATTTTAAATTTTAGGGATTAGAAAACTTTTTTTTGTTTTGTAAGAAATTAAAATGAAGACCGTATTTTTTGTTAAGGACCTTAAAGAAACTTTACTCAAAAAAAAAAAAAAAGTAAGATGATGCCCATGCTTTTATTTTTTTAAGAAGAAAAAACAATGCATCCCAGTATTTATTCCCTGTGTAAGAGTTTAGGGAGGAATCCTCTTATATTAAAATTTTATATGATCTGATTATATAAAAATTTTGTATTTATTTTTTTATATGCATTAAATATGTGAAGTGTAATTATCATTAATAAAAATTTTACGTAACTAAATTATATAAAATTTTAATATAAGAGGATGGATTCCGAAAATTTAAAAGGTGGAAAATCTCTTCTGCCAAGTAGCTCTGGATGATTATTATTAATGATACTTAAAACGTGGAAAATAACAATGAATGTAGAGTTATCTTATTAAAGGCCAAAAAATGATCTATCCTTATTTTTTTTTTTATTTGTCTAACTAAAATATAGAGAGTAGTGTTTAAGTAATAAAAATATAAATTATTAAAAGAACTAAAATATTCAATATTTTAGGAATATAAAAGAGCATAAAAAAATAATAACTTAGGAAAAATAATAAAATATATTTAATGCTTCTCAAACAATTTTTTTTATTAATACTTCTGAAACAATGTATTCGTTCAATAGTTCCACACTTCCTCGTGAAACGGTGGTTAGTACGGAGCTAAAGATGCTCTCTCCCCTTCCCTTGGGGTTCTCATTGTTGCCCAACCCCTCCTACTGATCTGCTTCATCTCATTTTTTTGGATCAAAAGGGTGCTGCCAACATTAGCACTGGGGCCCCTGATTGATTGGTGTTTCTTTTGTGTTTTGTTGTTTTTGTTGTTTTTTTCTGCGGTTCTCTTGGGGCTTTGCCCTTTTATTGTACTAAAAAAAAATAAAAAAATTGTACGCTACTAGCTAGTTATGTTTTTAGATATTTGTCCTTTCTATAAGATTAAATATTGTCAATTTAAAAATTAAAACAATACTCGTTATTTTTTTTAAATTTTTATCATTTTTGTTGATACGCATGCAAAGTATTGAAATCATTATTATGTCTATAATAACCTTAACTAGTGAAATAAATAATTTAGGATTATTTTGGTGATAAAAATGATAAAATTTAAGAATACAATTTTGTGAGTTTAAACACTTTTTGGGGAGAAAAAAGTGTGAATAATAAATCTTATCCGGGTAAAATGTTACTATGAAATTTTAATGGAAAACACATAAATGAGATTATTATTATAAAAATTAAATATATACCAAACAAGTCAATTAGGATTAAGAAAATAATTATGAGAATTATTGGGGTCAAATTATAATTTTGGTAAAGTTTGGAGACCAAATTGCAATTATGCAAAAATTGGCCTAAACTCAATTATGATGTCATAATATTATTATTTAGTGAATTTAGTGACAGAATTGATATTATTTAAGTTGGATTAAGTTTAGAAATCAAGAAGAAGAAAAAACAAGAGGGATACTTAGCAAATTTTATAAAATAAGTGGTCAAAGATAACAGGATTTTAAGTGACTTAATATTCATTTGAACTTCATTCCACTCATTTTCCTCCCTCACCAAGTGCTGCAAACCAAACCCCCCTCCCCTTAGTGTGCAAAAATTTCTCCTTCCATTTCTAACCACTTTCAAGCTAGGGATCAACTTATAGTTGCGTCTAGATTACTATCTATGTTTTCTATAGATGCCTCTAAATCGATTCTGTGAGGTGTGTGTATTTGTGACATATATATTAGATGAAAGGTTGGCAAATATTTGAGTTAATACGTTTAATATTCTAACAAACACTTCATAGTTGAAGTTGAATATGATAATATCACTAGACCATGCATTAGCTTAATTGCATAAGTCTAAATAATTATTCACAAAATTAACATATATAATCATATATTTAATGTATGGTATTTTTTTTGGTATGCTAATGTATGGTATTTAATCTCAATAATACTCAAACTCTATCAATAATAATTTGGTGAAAAATATGAAAAGTCAATTACTCATTGGGTTGGAAATAACTGATCATAAATAGCATTAAAATAATGAGCAAGATTTGTGTGCTTGGTTATTTGGTGATGTTTTATTTTCAGGCACATAATTTGTCCAAAGATTACAAGTCTGGCCTTCGGTTTTGAAAAAGATATGATTCTAAACATAGGCGGTGCCATTTAAGTAGGCTACTAATTGTTTGTTGAAAATAAAAAATTTCTTATGTAAACTCCATTGATACTTGTCATTAGATTTACTTTAGATTAAGAAAATATAATATAAAATTATTAGTGTATCTTCACTTAATAGCTTAAATTTTTGGATTAAATTAATTTTTATATGATATCAGAGCCTTTATGACCTAGTGGTCACAAGTTCGATCATTATTGCCCTATTCTATTAGAAATAATAATTAAATATTTTGGAATGTCTTAGCACACGAAATGAGACTTGATGCATTGTCCATTCTTTAAGTCCAATGAATCTCATGTGAGAGAACGTGTTAGATAGATATAATATAAAACTATTAATGAGTCTTTACTTAATTGTTTAAGCTTTTGGATTAAATTGATTCTTTATAATTTCCTATCTATATTAATAAATATCTCTATTACCCTTTCTCTTATCTGCGTGATAATTAAATATAGTGAAATGTTTTAGCACACATAGATGGAGCCTGATTCATTATCCACCATTCAACCGCAATGGCTCTCATCTAGGAAGAGTGTTAAAGGCAGTGTTATTAAAATCGGACCGACCCGGCCGGGTCGACCCGGGAATCGGTGAACTGGTCATATAACCGGTCCGGTTGAAGCAACAGACCGGCCATACATCAAAACCGGTGTTACTCGGTCCGACCCGATCGGTTTTCACGAAAACCGGTGACCCGGCCTGGACGCAAAATATTTTTTTTTTCAAATTATTTATTTTTTCAAAAAAAATCATAATGGACATATTTGAATATTTTTTTACTTATTGACTTACATAAGTTATGTACCTACAACATTAATATTATCTCAATTATGCACTATCCATAAAATTTTGATTTGATTTATAGTTAGAGATGTCATTTTTTAAACTTAAAGCCCCGTATCATGATCCTTATATTTTTGTTTGATCTTTTATTGAATAATAATATGTGATTTTTTATTTTTTATTTTAAAATATTTGA